AACGCCGTTGCCAGATGGCATGCACGACACACTAGGGCAGCACTGTGAGGTCGGTGTACGACAAGATCAGAGGGGGGGAAACAAATCGCTCAATCAGCACAAACCACTCCCGCCTATGTGGCACGCCTGGGTCGGGTTATAAAGATGGATTGGCTCCATGCGCCGTAGCAGGCTCCGCACGTCCGCATCACAGTATACGCCATCGTCATCTGCGATTGGGAAAGGCGGAAGCGTGTTGTGACGCCCAGGGACGAGGTTCGAGCTCGGGCCACAGCCCGTGCTTCCGTCCGTCGGGACGAAACCTGACTCCATGCAAAACTCAACGAATATCGTCGTCGAAGGATGCACTCAATTCCCTAAACACGGCGCCGGGCCCCCTGGGTGGAGATAGATAGGTTGGCCGCTCCGCGTGTGCGCGGGTGGCCGATCTACCTGAAAGTTGCCTCCCCTTTGAGTCCCTACCTGCGCGCGAAGAGAGAGAGAGAGACGGCGAAGGGAGGAGGGCGCATATCGCACAAACACACTCACACGGGCCAAGGATACTCAATCAAGAAACGGGGAGGAAGACGGAAAGGACCAACCCACTCATGCACTCATGTCAGCAATCAACACTCAATGCCCTATGGTCATCCGCTCTTACTAAAACATTCACATCCATAGACTTCCATACCCAAGAAGGCAGACCATACACTGTCCCACATTGGGGAGCTTACACACATCACACGGGGGCAAAGCAGCAATGGAGAAAAAGCTTCGTCTTAAAATACAGAATTCTCATGTCATCGACTGGCCTTTTCGGGCCCAGTCTCCACCCGGTCCGTCGAGATCACTGGCAACCATAGCCACAAGGCCCTGCCGCTGTCAGCGTCTGATCTCCACCACCGCTCCATCCCTCCGACTGCCTCACCCCAAGTCCACCGCTAAGTTGCTAACTCCGCCACCCGCCGTCACTTCGCCCACCACGGGACACGTCGAGCCTGTCCAGCGCCACGAGCTTCGCGCATAGCTTGCAGCCGAGATCCAAGAGAGTGAGAGGAAGGGTTTGCGAGAATTTATAGCACTGAAGGCGGCGGGGAGGCTGCGCGAAGCACGGGGTGTAGATGAGCAGGACAGAAGAAGGGCAGAAGTTTCCAGAGGAATCGAAGGAGGCGAGTCGACTGGTCTGCGTGATTGGGGTGGTCGTCCAAGCGGGGTGCGCTTCCCGCAGCCACCGCATTGCCCCGACCATCCCACTCAGACAGCCAATCATTCGCAGGGAAAGGAGGAGGGGATCGAACTTCGCTTAGAGGGAAGACGAAGAGACATGCAGGAGGGAGATGCACAGCAAGAAGGGAAGATGGCACGGGGATGCAGAGCGGGAGAACAGGTTTACGCAGTGCGCAAAAATTTGAAAACAGCCACGCACGAAAAAATTCAAAATTCCTACTCCTGCTAGTTCCCAACCGTTTCTTGAATTTCTTGGCGCGGCCGCTAACCGGCCACGCGAGACCCATCCCTTTTTCAAAGAAAGAAAAACAAGGAAAGAAAACAAAAACCTCGTTCTTCCCAACTATCCAGAGCCTGTACTCCGAGGCCTTACGTGGGATTTTTCCCGAGGGGTACGGGAAACCGTCGAGTACGGGTCCTGGCTTATCACAAGCACTCCACAAAGACAGGGAGGAGGAAGATCAGAGAGACAGCAGAAAAGGGGGGTGGACGAGTGCAAACGAACCGCAATCAGATATAACAATCAGCACCACAATGACATCTCACAGTCACGGACAAGGATTGAACGCGCTTGGGTAAGGGTGCTAGACACAGAAAAGGCAGAGACATGTTTCTGTTAGAAGCGAATGAAGAGCAGAGGCTGAAGCAAGAGAATTCAGAAAAATGGAAGGGAAGGAGCAGGAGCACTCTCCAAGAACAATGCTCCCCTTTTTCCTCTGGACATAACGCCCCATCATTGATCAAGAACGCACAGACTTTTTTCGGGTTCCAATACAGCCATGATGCTAGGGCAGTGCAGTTGGGGCAAGAAAGGTAGCTGGACCATGCCCTTATTGTCATTGCCCTGCAAATGGGCGGTCAAGCGAATCACTTAAAAATACAAGAAGAAAAACAAAAACAAAAACAAAACAACAGCAGCCCAATTCGCTTCATTTTGTCAATGTCTTGCAAATATTTGTCCCACGTCTACTCAGTTTCTCTCATCTCTATCCCAATAAGGTGGGAAGCACCACCCTTTAACCAAAAAGCTGCATCGCCCCTTCCCTCCTTTCCCGAAAGACTTCCCCTCCCATCACTCCCCTCCCTTTAAGAGCTCTCCTTCTCATCCTTCTATCCTCGTGCCATGCTCTCATTCGCTTCCATATATCCGTCATCTACTCTTCTTCCTCTCGCTCGGCATTTCCATCCGTTGTCTCCCTGTGTATACATAACTCTGCATGCCATTCCCATATTACCATCCCGCTTCATGCACTTCTTTGCACGCTCATCGAGGAGGCAACCACTGAAGAAGAGCGAAGGGGAGAGGACAACGAGAAAGGGAGGCAGGCAGAAGAGAGAGCAACTTGAGGAACAAGAACAGAAGCACGAGGGGGAGAAAGTGGAGCAGGGCTGTTTTTTTGAGAAGGCAACCACTGAAGAAGAGCGAAGGGGAGAGGACAACGAGAAAGGGAGGAGGCGGGCAGAAGAGAGAGCAACTTGAGGAACAAGAACAGAAGCACGAGGGGGAGAAAGTGGAGCAGGGCTGTTGTGAATACGGCCAAATCAAAGGGAACATAGAACACAAAAAAAAGGGACATGAGGAAGGCGGGAGAGATCCAACAAGGAGTACAAGCGGAGGAGGAGAAGAAGAAGAGAATGTGCACCACCTCTCTCTCTCCCCCCCTCAAGACAAGGAAGACGACTAGGATGACAATAAAGAAGTCGAAAAGAACAAAAAAGAAGAAAAAAACATTGCATTGTCACAACCGCCTCGTTCTCCCTCTCTCTCCCCACTCGCTTCCTCCTTTCCCTGTTTCTTCTCCCAACAGGTGTAGAAGTCCAGAGAAAAGGTAACGACCTGGATATTGTGCCCTCAATCACATTCTCTCTCTCTCTCTCTCTCTCTCTCTCTCTCTCTCTCTCTCTCTCTCTCTCTCTCTCTCTCTCTCTCTGTCAAATGGGAAGGCCAGCTACAGCCAAAGAAAAAGTAGAAAGGGCTCAATTTGTTTTCTTTTTATTTAGGGGAGATTAAGGAAGGAAAGAAAAGTAAATGAACCATTTTACATCCAAGCAACATATTTAAAAAATTGCAACCTTCCAAAAGAAAATGGTCGACTCACTGTTGCACTGCATGACACTTTCCTTGCTGCACTTTGCCTTGCTCTTTGCCTGCCACGTTCCCAGCTCCTTCCTACCCTGTGCCTGGCTACACTGTGCCTCTCTCCTTGACATGGTGTGCACCACTCAGCTCCTTCATGTCCTACAGAAAGTAGCAGCAAGTCAGCTGCTCGAGTGGTACGACTGCAGTGCTACCCCCGACATCTGCCTCTTCACTCCGCGTGTGTGTAGCACCGCTTCTTCAAGTTCATGGTGTCTGGCCCACTACAACCCTTCCGCGGGCGCGACAAGGCAATTACTGTCAAGCATGCGTCCCAGCCGTAACCGGCACCAAAACGATGCCACACAAAGCACACTACCTTCTGATCAAGTTTCCCAAACTGCAGTGCTGCCCAGCTCAAAACGGGAAATTCAATTTGGAGTGGGTGTGCCACCAAAAACACATCCCAAATCGAAGACCGCCAAAAACCATGCCACTTGAAATGGGAACTTGGGTGGGTCGGGCGCCAGAAACACATCCCACTTGCAAAAGAGTATGTTCCGTGAATAACTAGACGATGGTGTAAGGGAATTTTCAGCATGCGCGTAATTGGACACGTTGTCGTGAGTAGTGTTTGTCTAGCAGCCTGTAAGGGAATGTGGGTGGGTCGGACGCCAAAAACACATCCCACTTGCAAAAGAGTATGTTCCGCGCATAACTACAGGAGGGGTAATCAGATGGAGCTCCCCCCAGGTGCTAGCGGTGTCTGCTCTTATCAGCACCACTAGCACTGACGGAGGCATTTTCTTTTAAAAAAAAAAGAGAGGACGGGTAATCATTACCCCATTTCCTTAGTACAGGCTGCTAGACAAACACTACTCACCACATCCTGTCCAATTTCGCGCAAGCCCAAGACACGCTTTATTTCTCCCTGTGGCCTCTGCTAAGGCCTGAGATCATCAAACCAAACAAAACAAAACCAAAGCAAACCAATCTGTGACACAAACGAACAGTGAAAGCTCACGGAATCACAAAGAGAACAAAAGAGGCGATGCACAACAAAAATTGAAAATTCATCATTTTCAGCATGAGACAGGAATAACACAAGAGAGTGATGAAGAAACGAGAGCATTAAGTCGTCCGTAGTCCCACATGCGGCACGACCGGCGAAGAAAGTATAAGTTACACATCGTTCAAAAAAGAAAGTGACGAGAGACAACATGAAGAAAGCCCAGAGTTCCCAAAAAAAAAAAAAAAAAAAAAAAAAAAAGAGAGCTGATGGGGGCCAAGGTAGGCAACGAGGGAGCACATGAGGCAATAGTCACAACCGCAGCATAAGATCCGGCAAATACAAAAAAATGTATACATTTGCTCAAAAAAAAAAGCTGATTAGCGGGAAAAAAAATAATAAAACTGAACAAGTCCCAGATCTCTCTCTCTCTCTCTCTCTCTCTCTCTCTCTCTCTCTCTCTCTCTCTCTCTCTCTCTCTCTCTCTCTCTCTCT